CCTCCAAAACCTCTATGGGTAATTTTGGCCGGCTAGTGGCTAGCATCACCCTCTGATTCAAAGCAAGACTTATTGTCAGAATGCAATCAAAATATCATGCAACAGTTTTCCTTTTTTTGATAAATAAAAAGGCAAAGCTTTAACTCTAACAATAAAACTATATAAAAGAAGAACAACTATCAGGTAAGAATTATATTCACAATGTTAAGTCCACTTGTATTTGGGAAATTCTGAGAAAATCCTTTATTATCTAACCTCTCTTGGTGAGTCCAAAGTTTTGTACCGAATATACTTTTTATCCTAACTTATATTACCAGCTCAAAACTATCTTTTTATTTCTCTCAACTTTAGACACTTTATACTTCTTTCATGAGTTTCTTTGCTGATTTTGGTAACAAAGAACACTATAACTGTGACTATCTAGTCTTCCACTTCATCAGAGACCTGAGAAGGATAAAACATTACCTGAGTAAACATATAGTGCAGAGCACACAACTTCCAAAACTAAGAAATGACAGAAACAGCTGACTGCCTGGACAGCCACCCAAAGTTCCTCTGAAATGTTGGAGCAGCCATCATTGGCCTACCGACCTAAAATATCTGACAGACTTTTCCATAAAGCAGAAATTTTGAATGACTGTTCTGTCTTGTCTTGGAAAATTTCAGAAGTCTTTTTTTTTTTTTTTTTTTTTTTTTTTTTTTTTTTTTTTTTTTTTTTTTTTTTTTTTTTTTTTTTTTTTTTTCCTGCTTGGACAACATACTGTCATCAGTTGAGACAAGAGCAATTTCTTGCCCAGGGGCTAACTTTTGCCACAAATAAAGTAAACTCCATATGGAGTTTCTTTAATGCCATTATCTTCTCTAAAGTAGATTGGTGCTACCAGGAACAGTCATGTCTCATTGTCATAAAAAGCCTGATGTTATTAAAACATCTTAAATGCCATATTCTGTAGATCTCTGAACAGTTTGAAGACCACCTGTCTATATCTCTATTTGGCACTGAAAATATACCTAATGTGATTGCAGTTTGACCATAATAGGTGACTAACTACCAACCTGTATTTCTTTATTATCCTAAATAGTTTTTAATGAAATTTTCAAGGGTTAGAAATTTACATTACATTGTTAAATGAGCTGCATAGGTGCAATACCTTAAAAAAGAGTGTGTACAGGATGTTCTAACAAAAATAAACTTGAATTAGTATCAATATACAAAAATATCTTAAATAAAAATAGAAACATATACAGTATAACAAAATTAACATTAAATTTGCATCAATATGCCAAAATCCATACCAATGTAAAATATTTAAGACTCCTAGTTGTTCTTTATTTGTTTAAGAGTAGATTCAACAAACTACTATTTTATCCTATCATTTCTATTCCCCCTTTTTTTCTTTTCAGGATGAGATCCCTAAAACTTATCTCCTTTGTTCAGTTTTTTTTTTTTCCTGATCATTACCAATAACAACTTGTAACCAATCCTCCTAATCAATGACAAATATCCATAACCCACTGAATGACCAAAACTCATCTACCCTACCTCTTGAGAATATGGGCATCTTGTTCTCTAGATTCCTTTCTGTTATCTGGGGATGGTAAAATCTCTGCCGAACCCTGAGAAAATTGAGAAAATGGCCAATTCTTGGGAGAGCTAGTTGTATCATTTGTTGCCAGTCTCTGTGTAATGGGAAAGTGTAGGACTTATCTGAAGTCTTGGCTGGAGTAGTGTATGGAAGAAGACCATCTCAGCTAACTGCTTTGAAGAATGTCATGAGTAATTCAGTTCAAAGCTGACCTTTGGGTAATGTTTGTCAACTTAGTGGCATTACTACAATTCAGGTAGAATCATTGTTGTAGGGTCCCACCATCCTTTTGGAGACTTTAAAAGTTGCTGTTCAAAGTGGCCATGGTTTACTGTGGAAAGACATTTGAAATGTATATGCAGCACATCTCTGAGATCTCAAAGAACCAAAATTTGTTAAGTACATCCAGAATACACAAACTTAATTCCTAATTACCTGATTCAGACTCAAGTTCAAAATCATGTATAAAAAGCTAAATTAAGCCTTTTTCTAGAAATAGTACTACATATGATCATTAATTTCACAATGAAAAATTTAAATACACACATTATATTAATCGTATAAACTTTGTTATAATATTTATACCTTAAAAATTTATAGAGTCAAAATAAAACAAAGGATTATGAGATTAGTAGCAATAGAATAGTCCTGTAATTTTGGTTTTTCTTCTATTCTATATCACATGGATCTTCTGACATGAGACAGAAATTCTGGATTTTCCTTTAGCAAGCATGTTTGGGTTTAGATGCATAGAGAGCCACACTCAAATGCCAAAGGCCCCTTTAATTTTTAATTGAACTTGAATTAAAAAAAAGATCATTTGCCTTATATGTCTGTAGACAACAGCAGAAACAAACATTTGGGAACCTTTATGAAATTTTATCCTGTTGGAAATGTGTCATACCATTAGGCCAGTTGATTGTTTTTCTTGGGAAACTTTTCTAGATGATTTATCCTTTTTCTTCAGATGTCTCATTTGCTCAGTGGTTTTCAGATTCCTTAGTTGGTGACTAAACCTCCTCCTCAAGATAACCCGTATCCTGGTTCCATTCTGAGGTCAGCACATTTATCCTTTTTCTTCAGATGTCACATTTATTCAGTGGTTTTCAGATTTCTTAGTTGGAGACAAAGGTAAAACCTCTTCCTCAACATAAGCCGTATTCTGGTTTACATTCTGAGGTCAGCACATCTTTAATGTATACAGGCTGATTAATTCAGCAGTCTTTTTTCTATTACCCAATGTCTCTCTACAGCTGTCATTCTTTCATTAACAATTAGAAAATCTAAAGATAACACAATAACATACAGGATCCAGATTCTTTGTGAATTTTCCATCATTATGTTGCTTATTTTTTTTCTTATTTTACTTTACTCCTTTTTGAAGGTCTTTATTATTTTAAAACTATTTTTAATCTATTACTATATATACTTTTTCTCCTTTCTCTCCTAAGCGTATGTATATTTTTAAACATATTATAACCCGCTTAGAAATTTATTTGGTCTGGATCTGTCTTTACTGAGCGTCTGTATTGTTTTGTTTTGTTGATCACATGAGATGAATCTTAAATTGTTATGTCAGCTGCCAGGATCACTCAGCTTAGTGAATGGCATCACTCATGCTGGTTAGTGGCTTGCTCCTTCCCACTTGGTTCCCTGAGAGCTTAGATTCATGGCGGAGGTACTGGAGGGAGATAGGTATACTGCCCCAGCTCTGAGAAGTGGTTAGGTTCTTGCTGTCACTGAATAATATGCCACCCTCCACTCATAAACCCCCTATTAGTATTACATAACAAGGACCCTTAAAAAAAGCTGTGTCATGTTTGCAGCTAGCACCAAGCCAGAAAGCTGCCTCTTAAAGAAGCCACCCTCTGTTTGATGCTAGCACCAAGCTTACCTAAGAAAAGACAGGAAGACAGATACCAAGAAGCTACGTTTCACAGTTTGTGTGTGTTTAATCCCCCCCGCCTGATGTTTTTAGAGTTTTCTTAAATTTTATGTGGATCTATGTTGGCCAAAGTTGGGGTGCCAGGTATTTAATTAATTTATGTAATTATTCTTTGTCAATAAAAAGATCAGGAGTCAGATATTGGTGTTAGAACCTGAATGATCACAGAAGCACCAGAGAAGCCACCAGTGACCTCCTATCTCTTCTGTTCCTCCATCACAAAGAGCTGAGATCCTCTCTAAGATCTGCCTTACTACTTCTTGTCTCTCAGTCTCTCCTCAGTCCTCCAAAATGTCTGTGGGTAATTTTGGTCCACTAGTGGCTAGCTCCAGCACCACCGTCTGGTTCAAATCAAGCTTTATTATCAGAAGGCAATAAAAATATCACACAATAAACCTCTATTCACAAATAGATAGAAGTGGAAAAGTCTGAAATGTACTTCAACTGATAAATGGTGATGCAAATATGGTGCGTATATATCTAGCAATACTATTCAGCTGTAAAGAAAACTGAAGCATGAAATTTCAGAGTAAATAGATGCAACTAGAAAATATAATATTTAGTGAAATAGCCCAGACACAGAAACTAAACTCCACATGCTCTTTTTCATCTCTGCTTCCAAAATTATCAGATGTGAATAAATACCCTGGAGTGACTTCAGAAACCAGGGAGTGAAAATGAAATCATTATAGAAAGTGGGGTAAATTAGATTGCTAAAAAGTTGTACACAGGACAACTACACTCAAAAAGAAGATGAAGAGGAGGGAGTATATCATGAAAGAAGGAAGGAAAGAAAGAAAGAAAGAAAGAAAGAAAGAAAGAAAGAAAGAAAGAAAGAAAGAAAGAAAGAAAGAGGGAGGGAGGGAGGGAGGGAGGGAGGGAGGGAGNAAAGAAAGAAAGAAAGAAAGAAAGAAAGAAAGAAAGAAAGAAAGAAAGAAAGACAGAAAGAAGATTGAAGCTTGGGAGTTACATATTTGAACTAACTAAGTGATAATATAAAGCACACAAAATAAAGGCATAAATCCAAAAATAGTGGAAAGGGGAAAAAGGAACCAGGGAAGATGTTGTAAGAGAAAAACCAGGGCCAGTTAGACTCTATTTGTTGCTGTGCATTGGGCAACATCTAGATGCAGATGCTGAAGTGTAAGTCTACTCACAGTAGGACTCAGATGGCAAACAGATCATCTCCAATCTTATGATCAGGGATACAGCAAGGCAATGAGCTGTAGGCAACATGGATTCTCATATTTATTTGAAAGCATAATTTGAAAAGGAGTTACAGATGCAAAGGGTCTGAAAAGGTACCCATGTTGATTTGAGCAAAATGTAAAGACTTGATTTCAAGTGAGCTATTTTTTACCCTAAAACTGGTCTTAAAATATAGATACTGTGTGACACATTTAATAAATCATTCATAAATATTTTATATTCTGTTCTTTATCATACTGACAGTCTCTCTTCTCTTTCAGATCATCCATTTCCTGGTGATGTTATGTTCCCCAGGGAAATCAGTTTTACAAATCTACAACCAAATCATACTGCTGTCTATCAGTGTGAAGCCTCAAATATCCATGGAACCATCCTTGCGAGTGCCAATATTGATGTTGTAGGTGAGCATCCCTGCGTCTTGACTTCACTTACCGCTTGCTGAAGGAAAATGCTCAGTTATAGTCATAAGGACCGGCTTTTTACGGGTGTGAATGTACGTATCTGTGTTCATGTGGTGGCCAGAGGACAACCTCAGGTAATATTCCTAAGGTACACTCTATCTTTATTTTTGGGACAGTGTCCCTCACAAGTCTGGAACTTATGAAGTAGCCATGGATTGCTTCCAGTGAGCATCAGGGATCCACCTGTTTTTATTCCCCATTGGCAGGATTGCACTCTAGTGCCCTTTTCTTTTTCTATTTATCTTTTAAACATAGGTTTATGTGGGGGGATAAATTGCTGTTTGTGCACTAAATTCTTTACTTACTGAGCTATCTCTCCAATCTAAAGTCCCAATGAATTTTGACATATAAATCATGGGGAAGAAAATAAATGTGTGGTTCACGTTCTGTGTAGGCATTGGATATTGTACCTAAATTATGCTTTCAGAATGTGCTGGTTTTGTATAATATTCAAATTCAGGAATTTGTACTGAAATGTTCAGCCATCTTCTATTCTTATAAATATGTCAAGGATATAGAAAATCTTCATTGTACCTAATTTTTGCAGAAAGGTATAAAACCTTATCTTTACTTCTGACCAGATGTTGTACCACTGATTCAAACTAAGAATGAAGAAAATTATGCTACGGTGATTGGGTATAGTGCTTTTTTACATTGCGAGTACTTTGCTTCACCCAAGGCCACAGTGATCTGGTAAGATGACTTGCTGTTCTATTAACAAAATGGGTGTGGGGGATTGTTCAGCTACCATTTTGCAGTCAGCACTGTGTTCCAGTTGCTTCAGAGAGCCAATGCCTCTGAGAAATAAAGAAAGAAATTTAATTACTCATCCCTCCTGAAGCATTGACTAGAATCCTGAGACTTTTTTTAAATGAAGAAATATACAGAGCCATTTGTGTTCATAAAGCACACAAAGAATTAAAATGATTCCTAAGACAATTTTAAAGATTGATTTGTTTTTCTATGATGGGTCTAGCTAAGGATTGTTATGACTTCTGGGCTGTCTGATTATTTATCTTAACCTACAGTCAATTGCAAACCCAATAAAGACTTTGCTAACATTCATTTTGATTTTAATAATGCTATTGTTGTTTAAGTCTAAACATATCACCCTAAGCATCTGCCATCTTAGTTGCTTTACTGATAAAGTTTGGTTACTTTACTGTGAAATGATTGTGCTATTCCCATACAGGGCCTGAAGTAGGGAGAAAGTAGTGAGGTCAGGCAAGGCAAAAGCAGAGTCATAACTTATCTGATTCAATTGTGAGGTTTTGTCCATTTTAAGGTTTTGGTTTTGTCTTCTAAAAATATTTGATGAAAATATTATTTATCTTGATTTCTGAAATGCTTTTAAACTTTGCATCTGAGGCAAGTCCCGTGCACGTCTCAGCCTAGCCCTCCCTTTGAAAACCCTGTGCTAGTGGCCCATTTGTCCTCTACAATTGAGAGCACAAGCAATCACTTACTGTGAGATGCACAGGGTTAATCAGGCTGTGACAAGAAGTGCTTGGAGAATGGATGAATGTGGGCGAAAATGAGCCTGAGGTTGATAGGGTAAGTGTAATACATGTCCACAGGACAGGCAAGACTTCCTGGCTTATAATATTTCTGAATGACCAATGTTCTCCTAGGAGAGCCGGAGGTTGGGAAGGTTTATTATCTGTTTCAATTACTGGCTTCCCCATTTGCTAGCCCAGAGCAATTATTAACTAAAGGCTTTACTATAAATAAGCCAGGAAATATTTATTAAGCTTTGAGGACACATGCAAAGCAATGCTAGAAGATGTGAGACAAATAGAGGCAACGGGAGAAGTAGGGGATTGGATTCTCTTCAGCTCTAGTCTGTTGGTCAGCTCTGATATACACCACAGACAGTTTGAAGAGAGAAATTAGTTTCCATGAGTAAATTCCATACAGTCTACCAAGCACCTAAAGAAGGAGTAAGCCTGGATGACATCAAGGAACAATATCTGAAGAATACAAAATTGTGTCCCAATCAAAAATCACTCATTTCTGCATCTCCACAGGGAAGTTGCTGATGAAACACATCCCCTTGAAGGTAGTCGGTACCATACCCATGAAAATGGCACTCTGGAGATCTACAGAACCATTGAGGAAGATGCGGGATCCTACTCTTGTTGGGTAGAAAACGCAATGGGAAAAGCAGTCATCACAGCCAATTTGGATATTAGAAGTACTGTTAATTTGCTTTTACATTCATGAGTTCTCACATGGGTTCAGTTTCTTTTTGTTTCCTCAAACAAAACAGTGTTATTTAAATTTGAGCACCTGTTAAAGTTCACTTGATTATATCTCAAAAGCACTCCATTGCATTTCATCTGAAAGACTATTGGTGGTATGGCAGGGTGTGATGTTCATAGATTTAGGCCATCTTAGCAGGTAGCTGTGTCTTATTAGTAAATCTTAAGAAATTCCTACTTAGGTATATTTTCAGATCTATGTTTTATTCCAGTAGTGAACTTGAGGTATTACCAAGCATTAGGTTTTCGTTTTTGTTTGTTTGTTATTTTTTTAAGCACTAAAGCAAAATCATAGAAGTTTGATCTCAAAAGAAAAAAAAAAGCAGTTTGACAACTTTGGGCAGGCTTTTGTTGTTCTCTAAACCAGCGAACTAGAAACATTCTTGTCAATCAGTCTTTCCTCTTCAGTGAAGTCCTAGGAAGCTGCCGATAGACTCAGGCTTCACTGACATTTTTATTTTTCATATTTTTTAATCTCACAGATCCATAGCTTTGATAGTAACAACTGCTTTTGTCCTAAGTTATTATGATCCCTGACTCATTCAGTAAGAATTCCCACAGGTCAATATTAAATGTTTAGAGTGTCCTCCCTCCTAAGCTCTGAGAGTACTTCTGAGTAAGAAAACAAGTGCAGCATCCTTTTTTCTAATCCTCCATATTTGTGTGGATACATTTATGCCAGGGCTTCACCATTTCTGATTTAATAATAAATATGTGTATATAAAATCACATTCTCCTTATAACATGATTATATATCTGGATGCTACAGAATGAGAACTTACATTATTTTCAACTTCCAGAGATAATTTTAGCTCACAGTTTTGTTATTTACTTAGCAAAGAGTGGTAAGAAAGTGTGCTAACATTAATTGGTGGTTGCACCTAAGTTTTCTCAGGTTTAATGTTAGAAAATTACAGTGGGACACAGCATGATGACAGTTTAGTTGGCGAGGTTGTCGACACTTTACACTAACAGAGTGAGCTGTGCTCTGCAGTTCTAACCACCACCTTTCTTTGACAACCACGCAGATGCCACAAAGCTCAAAGTTTTTCCGAAGAACCCTCGCATCCAGAAATCACACGCACTTGAACTACACTGCGAAAGCCAATGCGACTCCCATTTGAAACACAGTTTGAAGCTGTCCTGGAGTAAAGATGGGGAGCCTTTTGAAATCAATGGCACAGAAGACGGCAGGTGAGTCCACTGCTGTGAATGAACACTGGGTTGTGTGTGAGTTGCAGATTTCACATTAGAAAAAAAAGTCCCAAAAGTATTCACACTACACTAAAGTACACAAATTTAAACGTTTCATTCTTCAAATCAGTATTCATAAGATCTTAAAGTATTTATTGTTTGTTTTATGTCCTTCTTGTTTCTGCTCTGTATGTTTTATAAAATGTGGTTTCTCCTCTCAGAGCTGGAAATAGAAGCCAGGTGTGAGATGCATTTTACCTGCATAGGTTTAGGAGCTTCCCGGAGCACTGGGAAGACGGGAAGAGCAAGATGTCAAAGGTGTTGCTTTTGGGGTTTTTGCTCATGCATGGGCTGTACATCTCTGATCCAGGTATCTGAAAACTTCTGCCTCCTCCCCAGACACCTTGCCCACTTGCTGCCACAGGGACCCAACTGTTGCTAACCCATTGTCTGCCGGAAGCACTGTCACACTGCATTCTAAAATGGCAGTCAGTGTCCGTTCCCTTCTCCTTGCCAGTCTCACACGAGTTCTTCTCAACCATAAAATCCCAATTATATCTAGTAGTCATCTCGTTACAACATGTTGCCAACATTATCTGGCCCTTCTCTCAGTAAAAGTACCTTTCAGAACCCTCGGCAGATATCAAAATTCATGTGGTCAAGTGCATTCTATAGAAGGATATTCTATTCAGTCTCATACCTTTATTTAGGATATAGATTACATTTACAGTATTTTAAATAGTCGATACAGTGTGAATAGTCAACAGTCATTGTACAGTGTGATTTAGAGAATAATGGCATGAAAAATTGTAGCTGTTCAATACACATCTGTTTAAAAGCTTTTGTCCATCCCTAATCAGTTGAATCTGTGAATGTAGAACTTACATATACAAAGGCTGGAGATGCATTTCTGAGTATTCTGAACAGGAGGAATGCAGAAGATAGAACAAAGAGAAGAGCTTGAATGACTGATGAGAATCACTGGAGTTTAAGGGCAACAAAAAGATAAAGGGATCAATAGAACCCACTAGAATTAAGAGTCAGAAAGTCTGCTTTGTCTGTTTAATCACACAAAGGTCAGTTGTGCTTCTGCTTTATTGTCATTGAGTGAGAGCTAGGAATTGATCATTTTGAAGTCAAAACTCATCTGAAATTACACAGCAACTCTGAAGGTCTGGAGATAACCCAAGTTCTTTTTTGATGAGATCTCAGTGGAGTCTTGGTTAAAAGAATGAACTCGAACTCAGTGTTGTTCAAATCCCAATGCTGGTTTAATGGATTGCTGCCCTCACACTGTCTGCTCGATGTCTTTCTACCTCCACTTTTTATAACATGACTCGATGAAAAGGAAGAAAAAGCTGGAGCCTAAGACTATTGTGAATTAAGATTTGATCGTCTCAGAAAATAAAAGAAACAACTCATTGTTCACTATTCCATTTTGGACCATTCATTCATCATTTCTCTAGTTGGTTCCTTTCATGACTGTTATTGCATTGGCCTCATTGTTTTAATATCTACATATGCATACGCATGCCATTTCTCTATGCAAAGACACCAATTTCAGCTGTGACCACTGACGTATTGCAGCGTGGCTCTTGCCTCGTACTACTGACTGACAAATCGCATCATAGGAGTTGATGTGAGAACGAGGGGCCCTACCTCCAGACCAGTCAGCCCCATATGGTTCAGTTTCATTTCCTCATCTTCAATGTTTTCTGTTTATTAATGTAGCACTAAATTTTTGAATTATGTAAAACTGTCACATTTTCCACAAAAAAAAGCCATTGCTTACTTTTTTTTTTTCACTCATAGCTATTACTGTGAATGTACCTTAAATTTAATGGTACTTTTTGTTAAAAAAAAAAAAAAAAGGATTAGTATTGATAATATGTCTCTAAGTATAGAGTAAAACATAAAATTGGTAAAGGATTGATTTTTTTTGTGTGTGATAAACTATTGCAAACCGACATAATACAAAGAAATGGATTTTAAAAATAGCCTTGAGGCGATTTGCAGAAAGAAGTACAGGACTGCCACCTGGTGGTCAAATGCATGAAATGCTTCAATTATTACAAGTTGGAAATTAACTATTGGAGGACAGGGAAACATCAAAAGGGGGGAGGGGAGTGAGAAAAATATATAGCTCAATTAAAAATAATAAAGTCTACAAACATTTTTAAAAGATACTATCATCGCCGGGCAGTGGTGGCGCTTGCCTTTAATCCCAGCACTCGGGAGGCAGAGGCAGGCAGATCTCTGTGAGTTCGAGAACAGCCTGGTCTATGAGAGCTAGTCCCAGGACAGGCTCCAAAACCACCGAGAAACCCTGTCTTGAAAAACCAAAAAAAAAAAAAAAAAAGATACTATCAGACTCCATGATAATATTCTGGTTTTGTGGAACTGGGTAGAGTTCTAAAATCTTCTTTTTCCAGAAGCATCCTCCTTGATTCTGTATAAGGTTTGCTGTTTATAACATAACAATTATGTAATTATCAACAGTCACAAGGTAGAGGCAGGTGAATCTCTATGAGTTCCAGGATAGCCTGGTTAGCAGAAGGAGTTCCAGGCCAGCCTGGGAGCCAGGGAACTTACACAGAGAAATTCTTTCTTGAAGAAACTAAAAACCAAAACTCCTAAAATTTCCTAGCTCTGTTAGTATGATATGAAGTTTGGCCAGCCCAAACTTCTGTCACAACCCATAGGTCACAGATATGTAAAAGTATGATCCCATTTAATACTCTGTTGTTGCGTGTATATGGTGAGACTGTATTCCAGGTTTTCATCTGTGACCTTCTCTGGTAACATCTGCATTGTATGAACTGGTCTCATCACTCTGTCTTGAATCATTATCCATGCAGGAACTTGCAACATGGGTTGTGAAAGAAATGTATCTCTGCTCTTGGACATGTTCTTACTCACATCATGTACTTTTTGCTGTCTCCCATCCCAACAGAATATTGATTGATGGAGCTAATCTGACCATATCCAATATCTCGGTAGAAGATCAGGGTACTTATTCCTGTTCTGCTCAAACTGCTCTTGATAGCATTTCTGAGAAAACTCATGTAACTGTCCTTGGTAAGTGAAAACAGAGAGGATCTCTGCCCCATGCTTCCTAGGAGTGCTTAACTTCCTTTGTTTCTAGGCCTTAAAGCAAATGATTACTTGGGCCTCTGCTCTTACAGTGAAATCTGATTTTTTGTTTGTTTGTTTGAAGTGCAACTTTGCTTTTAAATTATTTCTGCTTTTCTCACATAAAAGAAATTAATTAATGCCTAATTATTTTTCCCTATGTGGGAACGTTGCCAGTAGCAGCAGGAGATACGCAATGCTGGCAGTGAAAAGAAAAACCAAGGTCTCGATCCACCCATTACTACTCTTGGGAGATGTGGGGCTGAGAACAGAAGAGAGCTCTATGGAGACCCAGGAGTGGATGCTTGGTGTTTACACTCTACACCAGAACCTTAGGGTGAACTCCCAGCGCCCCAGGAATCTGAACGCAGACATCAAGTATTCTATAAAGGAACATATTTGAATGTTTTAAGTACTAATTGGAAAACAGTGTGTACACTCCACTGGTGCAATCAATGTCATTAACCCTGAAATCACTAGCGTTTATAGCCCTCAGACCATCTGCTGGCTGCTTTCCAAATGCCTTTCTCTATTAACTCACCATGAGCTCTTCTTCCTATAAACATGCCCGGGAAAGACACCAACAAACCATTTAAGATGTAGCTTTCACTACAGGTATAGTATCCTGAGAAGTGTGAAGGGTATTCACACTCTTTCTTCTTGCCATCTATGTAGGCTTTCTAAATCTCACTGCTTAAGTCATAATTACTCCAGAAGATTTTTCCTACACAACTCCTTCTGAAGGGATCCTCCCACCATTAGAATTTCAAGTCAGCCCTATAAGCAGGCTCTGTATACTCTGTCCATATGCATTTAAGGAAGAGTTCCTGCTAACACTTATTGACATTTCCTAATGTAATCAGCTAAATACTAAATATTACCCGGGACCCCACCCTCCACAGGTAGCTTAACAATTTCCCACCATGGAAAGCGAGTTAGCTGCTGTTGAATTCCTTTGTATGAAGCCAGTAGCTACTAAGCTGAGTCCAATTAAGTACAAGCTACATTGTAGCAGGTCTAGACTTGGCTCCTTGGGTGAGATGTTTAGCTCTAGGTAAGTGAACTTCTTCAGGATTCTGCAAGTGAAAATATTTAATCCTCTCTTAGCTATTCTAGCAGCATTTAAAAGTTATAGAAGCTGAGCATGTGGTAAGCAATGCCGCATCTCAGGCAGCATGAATACAGAACATCTGGACATGTGAGCCTTCCTCCTCAGGATTTTGAGTGATAGCAGCATCGAGAGGTTGGCTTTCTGCTGTTGGTGGCCACCTTCTGAATTTTACTGCAATTTTTTAAAATCCACCCTCGTGATTACTCTTCCATTTTCTAGTACTGTGAACTTTTGGTAATTTTAAATATACAGCAACTATGACCATACATGCTGTTTATTTACATGGTAATCGCCTAACATTTTAGTAATATTTGAAAATTTTTACATAAGATGGGGTGATATTTTAAAACTGCTTCCTTGGTTTTAAAGTATAATTTTTAAGTTTTAATATCTGATTAAAACATACCAATAATTGACCATAAAATGATTCTGGTCATGTGTATAGCTTCTAAAATATTTTATCTTAGAAAACAATATTTTAAAAGCCTAGACATAAACAAGTTTTCCTAGAAGTTGTTTCCAGAAATTTTAGCATAAAAATATTTTAAGAGGAGCTGGAGAGATGAATCAGCAGAAGATCTCAGGTAAGCTCTGTAAGTTCACTTGTCAGCACCCACATGGTGGCTCACGGCCACCTATAATGAAATCTGGCGCCCTCTTCTGGCCTGCGAATATAGAACACTATGAAGGAATACATTTTGTGGGGAAGGAAGACTGGGAAGAACCTATGGTTTTGTGCACTTCTGGCAAGCAGTCTACTCATGAAATCCTAGCCTGGAGAAATACTTTTTTTTATTCAAGTCCCTGAACTTTGAATAGAGTTATGTGCCAAACTTTAAAAGTAAACATGTTCCATTCTGAACTATAAATAATGTTTTTAGTCAATGTTCACTTAACAAGAACTTGTCAAATAATATAGGCCAGCATGGATAATAGTCTTACTGTCTCCTCCAAGCTGAAACATATGAGCTCCGTGAATACTAGGAATATTAGAGCAAATTTTGACAGTAAGGTTTATTTGTGGTAAGAACTCCCTATTTTACATGGACGCACACACAATTTATATATAAACCTTAACACTTCAATATTTGTAATTGCCTTTCATTTACCACTTGTGTTGCATTTGCCACTGCCCAATATATATCTGGCATCTGTGCTGCCATCTGACTCGTGCCGAGATTCTTCTCCTCTCCCTCTCTTTCCCTGGAAATCCCACATATCCTCTCCTCTCTAGCTACTGGCCTTTCATCTCCTAATTAAAGCAATCAAAAGGCACCTTGGCAAATAGACATCTTCACAGTGTACAAAAAGATTATCCCACAACAGGTAGCTTCTCGATATTCTTATTGTTACTTTTATGCATCACTGATAAAAGTAAAATATTTTCAAGGCTCAGCTTCTCTTTGAATCACTTCCCAAGAGAGGCAAATACTCTCACCAAATAAAATAACATCATAAGAGGCCTGCTGTTTTCTGGGGGATGTGGTGGGGAAGTGGATCTGGCGAAAAGGGGTGTGGAGGGGAACCAGGAGGAGTGCAGGGAGGGGAAGTTGTGGTCAGAATGTGTTGTATAAGAGAAGAATAAGTTTCAAAAGGTGAGAATGTGCTTTGTAAACGTCAAAGAATCTTCAGTGTGTAAAAGGACTATTGCAAGGTGGAGGCTTGAAAGATACACTGGAAGCTTTGACTACTAAGTCCTCTCAGGAAATTGAACTTGGCTGATGGTCAATGATCTCGCAATCTCTTGAAAAAAGGTAGAACCATCTCTGCTCTGGCACCCGTACTGTGCACTATCATTTTACAGCTATCTTTTGTTATTGATTAGGTGTTCCAGATCCTCCAGGAAACCTTCTCTTGTCAGAAAGACAGAACAGGAGTGTCCGGCTGTCCTGGGAAGCTGGAGATGACCACAACAGCAATATCAGTGGTAGGAAACTTGAAATGACCTTCATCTTTACCCAGCTGTGTCAAATGCATATCATAGACATATCAATTACCATTGGGAGATTATCCTTTTAAAAATAGATTTGTATTAGTGTGTGTGTGTATGTGTGTGTTCCCCTTTTTATATGTCTGTGTACCTGTGAAGGTAAAAAGAGGACATTGAATTGGGACCCTCTTATACTGTCTTACCCTCCCTTCTATTGCCCATCTTCTATTAGTACTTTTTTTGTTTTGTTTTGTTTTTCGAGGCAGGGTTTCTTTGTAGCTTCGGTGCCTGTCCCGGATCTAGCTCTTGTAGACCAGGCTGGCCTCAAACTCCCAGAGATCCGCCTTCCTCTGCCTCCCGAGTGCTGGGATTAAAGGCGTGCGCCACCACCGCCTGGCCTAGCTTGGAAACTTTAATTCTACTTTCATGTCACATACATTTACATGCTTTTATGTGTTTATATAAGACCCCCAAACCACAAATGAAAATGGACAGATAATTTTATCTTCTTGAGATTAACTTAATTACTTCGTAAGATTTTCTCCACACTTACTCATTTTTTTGTAAATTATGTGACCTTTTTCTTCAACTTGTTGTTTGTTGTTGTGTTTTTTGGTGTGTGCAAACTTCCATGTATGCAGGTGTACATGCACACATGTGTACATTTGTCTGTATATGTGCATGTATGTAGGTCAGAGTTCAACCTTGAGTGTTGTTCCTTAAGCACTTGGCTACCTTTTGGTTTGTTTGATTGTTTTGACACAGGATCTCTCATTGGTCCATGATTAGCTTAGGGCCTAGGAGTAGTAGTAATTTTCTTGTTTCCACCTTTACCTTACTGAATACAAGGGCACACAACCAGGTTTGTGAGTGTGTGTGTGTGTGTGTGTGTGTGTGTGTGTGTGTGTGACAGAGAGAGACAGAGACAGAGATACAGAGAGACAGAGACAGAGACAGAGAGAGTTCTGAGAAATGAACTCAGGGCTTCAAGCTTTCAAGGGAAAAAAAACTTTACTGCTCTGTCAGTCTCAAAATCAGTTTTCTTTTTTAAGCTCTTAATGTTGCCAATAAATCTTCATAGACCATCAATAAATTCAGTATATTTTAATGGTTTGTCCACATTCTTATCTCAGAGTACATTATAGAATTTGAAGGGAACAGAGAGGAACCTGGAAAGTGGCAGGAGCTAACTCGAGTCCAAGGAGAAGAGACAGAGGCTGTGTTATCTTTGGCTCCATATGTAAGATATCAGTTCAGGGTCACAGCTGTGAATGAAGTGGGGAGAAGTCAGCCCAGCCAGCCATCGGACCAGCATGAAACTCCACCAGCAGGTATGGATGGCCCCTTTGTGTAACAGAACATTTTATACTGACAGACAACAACCACAATAAAAAAAAATCTTTTACATTGGCCAACTCTTTGGTAAACGGAGAGAAACTCAAAGCCATCCCACTAAAGTCAGGAACACGACAAGGCTGTCCACTCTCTCCATACCTCTTCAATATAGTGCTTGAAGTTTTAGCAATAGCAATAAGACAACATAAGGAGATCAAGGGGATTCGAATTGGAAAGGAAGAAGTTAAACTTTCATTATTTGCAGATGATATGATAGTGTACATAAGCGACCCCAAAAACTCCACCAAAGAACTCCTACAGCTGATAAACACCTTTAGTAATGTGGCAGGATACAAGATCAACTCCAAAAAGTCAGTCGCCCTCCTATACACAAAGGATATGGAAGCAGAGAGGGAAATCAGAGAAACATCACCTTTCACGATAGCCACAAACAGCATAAAATATCTTGGGGTAACTCTAACCAAGGAAGTGAACACATTTTTAAAAAAAGATCAAGTATGTAATGTGGGACTTTAGATTCCTCCAAATAATTTGAAAAGTTGTATAAAACAGCAATGTAGAATATTAGAAGTGATTCTTTTAATTTTTAGAGGTGTCTAATTGTTTGATAGAGAACAGAAGATTATTACTCTGAATAGTTTTTGATAGTATTTAATTTCTGAATAGCTAAATATCATGTTTGAAGTAGATTTTATTATGTAAATTCTAAATGGAAGTTCAGTGTATAAAGGAAGCCATGGATTCAGTTTCCAAAGAAACACTTTTAGCTCATAGGAAATCTTTTAATATTTTAAAACTGTGTGCTAGTGTTATGTCTTGCACATTTAGCCTTTTTATACTTCCATGTTTATCTAAATCATCAGTATAATTTTGTAAATAACCAACAGAGACAGTGAAAGCAATTTATACTACAGAATTAGCATCAGGCAGTATCATTGCCATGAAATGGTGTTTGCTTTTTCTGGAGTAAAGTAAGCATACTGGGTTACAATCTACCTTCTGACAAGGAAAAAGCAAAGTGAATTAATCCTGAATCTGGTGCTTGCATGATTTTAGTTTGCACCGGACTCTGATAAAATTCTTGTTAGGGTGTTTCTAATAAAATGCCTCAGCCTGAATGCATTTTATTTCATGAAAGTTTCTTGTTAATGTTGATACATGAATTTCAATTTCACTATGCTAGAGGCATATGTTCACAACATCCACATCTCTCAATAATTCTGACAGAAAAGTGCAGTTTGAAAATGAAAACATGTATATTAAAGCAGGCTTAGAATTTTAATTAGCAGGCTTAAATTTAAGATATATGTAATAAATCATGTACTGTCCACAGAATAGCAATTATAGAACACTGAGAATGCTGTTTTACTCCTTTTAGTAAAATGTATTGTCTTCTCAGAAATTTGATTTACTGAAATTAATAAATATAAAATGTTTGATTATTTGGCTTTTGAGGGCTTAGGTATGATGTTTAATCAACTGGTTACTATACAATGTAAAAATATTTTTAATGTTTGTCATTTCTCAGCTCCAGATAAGAATCCACAGAACATCAGGGTTCAAGCATCCCAACCCAAGGAGATGATTATAAAATGGGAGGTGTGTATTCCCTATAATGCTAATGTGCTTTCTCTTGATTATTTATTCATTTTAAGTAGGTTTTCTAACTATAATGACATAACAGGATTTTTTTAAGAACAACACAATAATTGGAGAATAAAAAATTAAATTTTAATTTGTTGTCAATGCTTTAAGATTACAGTGATTAGAATTAGCTATAAAATAGAGATGCAATTCACTGGTAAAGTGCTTGCCTAGAAAGAATGAGACTTTGGACTTAAATCAAGAAAAACAAAACAAAAGGAATTAGTATAAAATGGGGATTAATTCTGGAAAACGATTTAATGATAGATCAAGAAATTGATCTAGATGATATCTGTTAATGGAAACTTCAAATTTCTAGTACTTTGTTTGAAGTTTTTAAGATATTTTCACAGTTAAACTATAGTAAAAACCTCTCACCATATGGTCTAATAAATATTACACAAATATCCTTCCAAAAGAAGAGCCATAGGTCTTATAAGCATTAACTCAGATTCTGAATACAGCCTCATCTTTCTCTGCTTTGGACACAGACACTGAGGGCCTTCCAAAGTTCCCACACTAAAACTATTAGAAATGTATTTAGGAAATGTTACTAAATCAAATCACTCTTTGACTTTGGCAAAACAATTTATATCTGCTTAGATAACTTTCATGACAGTATTATTTCATTATGTAATTCACAAGTTTATTCTGGAACCAGGAGGTATGTTGTAGATGTTTCAACTGGGCCTGGGTACTCCACAGACACTTGTTCTCTGTGCTTTGGTTGATTGTCATTGGCTATTATTGCAAAGAGAAGTTTCTTTGACGAAGGGTGAGAGCTACACTTATCTGCGAGTATATGGATAGATATTAGGAATGCAGTTAGGAATTATGCTTAAGTAGTAAATTGGTGCTAGTAAGTTCTCCACTAAAACCCTTGACATCACAACTCCAAGAGGTTGGCTAGATTTCCAGTACCAGGGACGATTTTTCTCTTCGGATCTGCCTATAGAGACACAACTACAGGCAACTAAGGGATGATGTGTGTAAGAGACAGTCTTCCCATGGATTAAAAATCCCTAAGTGATTATTTAGTACTTAATGTTCAGCCCTAAAATATATACATACCAGTAAAACTAAACGGATCGATCAGGTTGTATTTATATATTTAGGCATGTGTGTGTATGTGTGTGTGTGTATGTCTGTGTGTGTGTGTATGTGTGTGTGTAGCAATAGTAACCAACGAAAAACAAACTACAGTGTTGAGCAGGAGTAAGGCAGGAGTCCCTAGGAGAGGTGGGAGAGAAGAAAGGGAAAATGATATCATTCTATTTTACTTAAAAATTTATAATATTAAAGTGTGGATTTAATCATCTAAGAGGATTTAAAAAAAATAGCTGTTGCCATAGTTTCTGTTCATTGTTCCCTAGCATATTTAAATGAATTTTAAAATTTGTTTCAGTAACATAACTAACTTTAAAGAGAATGGGTAAATAACACCTAAACAGCAAACAAGTGAATAATTTGCCCAGACAGTAAGCTGAACTAAGGAAGTAGGAAATTGTCTGACAACTAGCTTAAATGAGCATAGCTAGGGTATTCAACTCCCAAGTGCTAAAGGTTTTATTATATGAATTGAAAGTTTCACTTATACTTAAAGATGAAACTAAGAAAAATTAACTGGAAAATGAAGGGAACATCATGGAAAACATTGTTTAGAAACTGTGATGCATTCTCAGAAGTTGGCAGAAGGGTGCATTTTAACTATTCTTATCACACAAATATACATATTTATGGTACAGTGCAAATGTACATGGTTTTACCATTACTATAGTCTACAATATAAACATATTCAAATTAACATGTGGTCTATGATAAGTACACACAATTTCTGTCTTGATAACAAGAGCAGAGGCTTTACAAGCCCTTCAATGACTTTTGTAGATTCTTGTGTCCCTAACTTAATAATGTCTTTCTAGAGACCACTTCACTGTGGTCAAGGCTAGAAGAGAAAGGGAAGGCTAGTGGTCTCTTTACCCGATTCATCTTTGCTGTTCTGAAACTGAACTTGCCTTAAGTTATTTGAGATTTACTGAAGTTTTATTGACTATTGCCTCAAAGCAAAATACAAAAGTCCTTCAGAAGCTCAGGGACCAAATAGGCAAAATAACTAAGCAAATGTTCTTAACACTGGCACAGTTTATTTTATAATTTGTCAGAGCACATTATTAAATTTATGTTTTTCCTTGGAGCAAAATATCAACAAATTGAATAATGTTAATCTTACATATTCATTGTCAATAATGATTGAAAAAATATAATTCTTGATTGTAGGCTGGACCTCAAAGTTTGTACCAGAGACTAAAGAGTTGGCTTGGTGGTTAAGAACACATACTGTCTTATAGACGATTGAGTTTTTTTCTGAGTACCCATGATAGATGCCCCATAACCTGCTGTAACCTCATCTCCAGGTGTTCCAATGTCTAGATTGGAGTTCACGGGCACCTCCACTCACTTACACATACCCACACACAGACATACTGCATATAAGTAATTAAAAGTAAAAATAAATTCTCATACAGCACTCAGGAGGCAGAGGCAGGCAGATCTCTATGAGTTTGAGGTCAGTGCTGAGATTAAAGGTATTTGCTACCAGTTTAAGAGACATTTGTGTGTGTTTATGTGTGTGTGTCTCTCTGTCTGTCTTTATTATTTTCTTCTAGTTTGTTTAAATAATTACTTTGAAATAAATGTAAAACTAAAATGGTTTGTTGATAGAGCATTCTGCTTTCAGTGTGATTCCAACCGATGCTTCTAATAAGTACTTTAGCCAGTTGTATTGAATGAAGAAGAATAAATGGTGCAAGAACATTTTATATGACATTTAATCACCCACATACACAAAATTACTCTTAATATAAATTAACTTCTAATCTAGGATGAAAATGCATTTTAAGTGAATTTTTATATAAATTACTGAATCATTTAAATAAAGTACCCATTTGTAAAATTAAATTGATAATTTAAACCACATTATTTTTCTTTAAAGTTTTCCTTAATTAAAAACTAAAATGGAAATAATCAATTTCTAATTTAATAAAAAACCAGAAACTCTTCCACAAAACCTTTCTATATGGCAAAATAAAGTGAGTGAAATAGCCATTTTGTATCAAGGAGCTGAGAAAGTATTCATTAAAAAGAGGAAGTACTGCTTTTGGGTCCTCTCTATAAACATGTCCATTTTCCAAAATTAAAGATAGTTCCATCTCCCTCTTTTAATGGAAGCTGGAACTGAACCTGTGGAGGAAAGTATTCTGTCCGAGGAGCCATGGCCCAAGAGTTCATGACCACATAGTTTCTGTTTCTTTGACAGAAAAAAAAATGTAGAATATAGCAGAAGCTTGAGAAAAACTAAAACACTGTTTCCAATTTATTTTATATATGAACATTTAGGTTTCACTATATGTGTGTAACTGAGGCTCCTAAAGTGTCCCGTGTCTTTGAATGGTAGAAGACTTATGCATAAGATTAAATAAATAAAATGACAAAAATGCTTCTGACAGTAAAGATCTCTAATTTGTAATTGTCATACATTCATTAAAATGAATCACTGCCGCCTTTTGGTCAACATATCTACAAGTCCATAGAGTATGTCTTTCTGTTTTAGCCTTTGAAATCCATGGAGCAGAATGGGCCAGGACTAGAGTATAGAGTGAGCTGGAAGCCCCAGGGAGCGCCTGAGGAATGGGAAGAAGAAACAGTTACAAACCACACACTTCGTGTAATGACACCTACTGTCTATGCTCCTTATGATGTCCAAGTTCAAGCCATCAATCAACTCGGCTCTGGACCTGAGCCTCAGCCAGTGACACTCTATTCAGGGGAAGACTGTAAGTGGTTCATCCTTAAATCCTAAACACATCAAGAAAATTTTCAAGTTACTACATTTGTGTCAGTATTTTCAAGTACCTATTGCTTGCAAAGACAACATACCATAGTGGGAGGCTGCTTGTTCATTGCCAGCTGCCCAGACTCGAAATAACCACACAGAAACTATATTATTTGCAAACTGTTTGGCCAATACCATAAGCACATTTTTAACTTGCTCTTATATCCTAAACTAAGCCATCTCCAATAATCTGTATATCGCCATGTGGCTGCGACTTACTGGGTAAAGTTCTGTATGGCATCTGTCTCTGGCGAGGCTACGTGGCTGCTTCCTGACTCCACCTATTCTCTCTCTCTCTCTCTCTCTCTCTNATATCTTTACAACATACTACCCGTGAAACAGAAAAATAAACACATGCATGCCTCAAGATGCATGCCTCAAGGTTAGGGAGTTAGGGATGATCTTAAGAGAGTTAGTTGATCAAAGTAGTGTTAAAGAAGAACTTTGGGAATACATAGCTTGTTGATATATATAGTTCTGGCCCAGCGTGCACAAAGGTCTGTGTTTGAAGCCCTGATATGATGAAACTCAGATGTGATGGCAACTGCCTTTAATTCCAGTACTTAGAAGGTAAGGACTGAAGGATCAGATGTTCAAGGTCATCCTCGGCTACATAATACACTGGAAGCTAGTCTAAGCAACATGATACACAATATTAAAAGAATAATAAAGTTCTCACAACAAAGACAAAAGCCAAACCATAACAACAAAATAAGTATTTTGGAAGTTTCAGCCTTATTCAAAAACCTGTTAAAGTTATTTATATTTTGAAAATCAAAGACCTGGAACCATCACAAGCCTCTGTGAAGGAACATAATGATCATGAGGTTCCCAAGGTTTCCTTAGATTAACGCTTTCTGTCAAAGACTTCTTAGCAACAGCCTGCTACAAATCTCTGGGCCTCCTTTGCGTGCCTGGAGTCTGGCAAACACAGATGAGATACACACCCAGGTTTGCGTATGAAATTTTAACCATATGAATAATTCTAAAGTAGCTGTCACAAAGTTATATTATTAAATATTAATAGCATAATAGCTGCTACAACTATACTTCCAGAAAAAGAAAAGACTGCACTGGGCAACTTTCCATATTAGGAGATATTCTCATTTTCTTCTAGTATCTGAAGTCATGTTTTGAATGACGAAGGAAAGGTTAAGAATGATAATAATCTCTTATCCTACCAGTCTTCATATTATTGTACCCAAATTAAAAAAAACACAAAAAACACCATTAATGAACAATTTGTTTTGCTGGTTCCTTCGTAGTAATCTTGGTTCTAAAGAACAAAATGACAGTGCTGGTCTCATGACAATATATTCCAGTGCATATGAGTTGATCCAGGTAGAACTTCTAAATACCTGAAGCTTAGTACGTACTCAGTTCATGTTGATTGTTATCTTTATTTTGCTGAGATAAACACTATGTACAAAATCAATGTGAGTAGAAAAGGGTTTATTTAGGCTTATAACTCTTAGGCCAATGCTCCATCACTGAAGGAAGTCAAAGAATTCAAGACAAGAGCCTGGAGGCAGGAACAGATATAGGAGAGGCCATGGAGGAATGCTTCTGATTTCCTCAGTCTGAATAATTATACAACTCAGGACCACAAGCATGGGGGAGCTAGCACCCACAGCGGGCCAGGCCTTCTCAGGTCAGCCAATGAATCAATAAATTGCCCCACATACTTGCTTAAAGGCAATATGATGGAGAAATTTTCTCAGTTTGAAGCTGCTTGTTCACTGATGACCCTGGCCTAAGTTGACAAGATAAAGAAACAACCCAGAATCTGGCCCAGACAACTGTTCTCTTAATGTCAAACTAATTCCTAAATAATTTCATCATGTTACTGGGGCTGATTTTTCTTCTTATTCAGAGAACATGCCAGTGGACATAGCTTTAAATTTCCATTTGCTTTTTCTCTCGTTACTGCCATCATTTCTCAATAGGATAGATAAAGTAACTCCTGTGGGCTCAGGAACTCCTCTGTACCAAGAGACTGCTGGTATTGTTTGAAACCAATAGCACATAAGTGCATTATACAGGCTAAATGCTATGAAGATCACTTTTGGAAGGAGATTTTATGAACTGTGTGTAAGGCATTGGATGCTAATCAGTTTTAATGTTTACAGATCCTAGTACAGCTCCTGTGATCCATGGTGTTGATGTTATGAATAGCACATTAGTTAAAGTGACCTGGTCATCAATTCCAAAGGAAACAGTACACGGGCTTCTGAGAGGATACCAGGTTGGTATCAGGTTGATATTTTTAAGTAATTTTTCATTTCATTTTCACTTCCTAAATGATACTGTTGAATTTGTTTCTTTCCTGAGATTTTTTAACTGATTTGAAGAGGGCAACCGAGTATCTTTTACTATGGCTGCTATGTTAAAAGGTTTGCATCTTCTTTGCAGATAAATTGGTGGAAAACCAAAAGTCTGCTGGATGGAAGGACACACCCCAAAGAAGTGAACATCCTAAGATTCTCAGGACAGCGAAACTCTGGAATGGTTCCTTCCCTAGATGCCTTTAGTGAATATCACTTAACAGTCTTAGCTTACAATTCCAAAGGAGCTGGTCCTGAGAGCGAGCCTTATATATTTCAGACTCCAGAAGGAGGTGAGAATATGAAAAGAGCCACCTATGCAAATTACCCAATGTCTCTGCTAAACATTCGCTTCATTATTGATAGTTAACGTGTAGCTCAGAGGACTTCATATCTTGGTTTCTCTAAATGTGTTATCTCAAGGGGATTTTTTTGTTTGTTTTTCTAGAAATTCATTGGTTTATGACTACCCATTTATGATCTTGTGTTTTCTAGTACCTGAGCAGCCGAGTTTTCTCAAGGTCATCAAAGTTGATAGAGACACTGCCACTTTATCCTGGGGACTTCCTAAGAAACTAAATGGAAATTTAACTGGTTACCTTTTACAATACCAGATAAGTAAGTACAGAATTGAATTAGATTTAATCTACTGAAGATTCAGTTTTTGTTTAAGGAATTGGGTTGCTACACAGTGAGCAGTATTCCCTACAGTGCAAGGAACAGTAAAATAAAGGTAAGCTACAACCTCTATGTGTTTCAATAAGAAACTTTTGTTTTATTGGAGCATGGTTATGTTCACCAATTTATATATTACCTATAGCCATTTTCTCACAAGAATGGCAAATGTTAGTTAGGGTAACAGAGATTGCATTTTCTCACAGTATTAAGTATCCACATTTTATATTTACAAAAGATCTGTTTACTTCTATTTTGTAATTAAAACAGTGATTACTAAGAAAAGTGTATGTACCATCTATTTGTGAGTAACTTTGAGAATGTTGTGCCAGGGGGCAGAGTTAGTGAATAATGTAATGGAGATTTAAAGTACATTCATGGCATCATAATAAGACTGACTCTTCCAAGGTGGTTGAATGATTCCATTATCAAGCCTAAATATATTTGTCTGGGTAGAACTCCCTATTGATTGTTTGCTAGTCAGGCAGGTTATGATGAGGGACTCAAAAAAATCTCTGCATATTTCTGTGTCACTAGGTTGAAAACAGTTAAGCTCGCTTAGAACATTTTAAAGTCATAACATCTCCTACCTGAAACAGTCATCAAATATAAGCATGATTTCAGACTGAAAAGTGGAACTTTAGTCATATTTCAATGATGAGACTTAACAGCCATGAGTTGCTAAGTAGCCCACGAACTGATCTCTTAGCCATTCCACCTACTCTGTTCACAGAAACCAACCTAATTGTGGACCTGGTGGATTACTCTGCTGTCTCTTGAGTTTTCACATCTGGGTCACATATGAGCATTAGGTCCCATTGATTGCTGCTGTGCACTGCACACCCGTTTAATTAAATATGGATGAAATCCAAGAGAAGTTGTGGTTTTTACCACTAGTTTGCTTTGTAGTAAGTGCTTCCCCGTGCTGTTCCATGCAACCTTTGCAGAGCATGCTATGGTGTACATTAGTCCTCTTTTATGGATGAAGGAATCGATACATAGTCCACTTGTGTATTTGAAGGTCATACCACAATGTTAAGTGCTGGATTAGGATGAATAATACTCAAGTCTGTCAATGTCCAAATTTTGAGTTCTTAAGCGACACTCTTCCAAGGATCAATTTTTAAGACTGTGGACAGAACTGAAATATTTTATGAGTTTTAAATTTTTATTTTGTCCTATCTTTAAATTTGGTTAAATTCAAACATTTTGTATGATCTGTCTGTAAGATTTAAATTTGATTTAATAACTATTGCTCATAATACAGTAGTTGAAATATTAGTAATTATAATAGTCATTGTACTTCTTAAAATTCACTAATATTAAATTATTTATTTCATTATTAATAATAAATGCAGGGTATATTTTATATAGTGTGCTTTTCCCTTGTTCTGCTCCAGTCTAATTAATTGCTATTTGTATATTCCAGAGTGGCATATACTTTCCCTCATTCTTGCATTGATTTTAGTAATTATTTTAATTGACTCTGTAGTGTTTAATGGTGATAAAGTGACTAATATCTTTCCAGCTTTACAATTATTAGAATACTGCTTGGTTTCTTGATGTAACTGCATTATATAAAACAAGGAAGGCATTTTATGTAAATAAAACATTCTCTTTTTATGAGTGCAGAGAGGATTTTTTTTTGTAGCCTTTTTCTTACCATTGGTGTCTTCAGACCTTAAACATATCCCTACATAATTTCACCTGTTTTGCATTTAGCATAGTGTTCAGGGCACAGTAGATATTTAAAAGCACTTAATTCATTTATCAGTTCAGTGGACCATTGATTCTCTCTTTGCTGAGCTGAGAGAGCTCCCAACTTCCAATAAGTTAACTGCAAGGTTTGGATTTATGAGGGCACAAATATGATGCACATTCAGTACACTGCACACTTTATTTTTTTAATTTGCTTTTATTCTCTTGTCAGTTCAGACATGTTTATAATGAAATTTAATCCCTCTCATTCCTTATTATCCTGTGATACCCTTCCCTCTCCCACTGAATCCCTACTTCCCAAAATGTCCCCTTCCTGCTCCCATGTCTTTTTCCATGTATGATCTACTGTATTTAATTCGAGTTGCTTGCATGAGCATGACAGGAAGTTATTTATGGAGAAAGGGCACCTTATCTGTGATTTTTCCATTGAAGTAAGTGACACCCCTTCTCCCAGTCACCACTGATTGTCAATATCCCCTCAGGGTAAAGTGGGATCCTCTTCCCTGCTGAGATATTGAGGGGCACACCTTGAGCTGATAGTTCCAGTGAGTTCATCTTTTCAAAACATACTATTTTAGCGTAGCCAGTGAAGTGTACCTCTGAAAAAAAAGTTGATTGCCCCATTATATTATCATTATTGCACCAATGGGTAGATCTCAGCAGATAGATCAGAGTTATAGTTTGCAGGGTTCACAACTTGGTAAAAATGCTGATGAATTCTCTGCAAGTATCTGGTGTTGTCTTCTATTAGTTGCTGTAATAATAATAATTGTCTGTACCTGGGAAGAGCTGATAGTAATGAATAATGATAGAAACTTTTTCAGTAAATAGGAACGAAAGGACAAGTCACTGTAACTTCCATTGTGAAGAACTTTGAAGCACTGATTTTTATGCTTATTTCTTCAGTAAACAACACCTACGCGATTGGAGAATTAAATGAAATCAATGTTACTACTCCATCTAAATCTAGCTGGCGTCTCTCAAACCTCAATGCAACAACCAAATACAAGTTCTACTTGAAGGCATGCACCTTAAAAGGCTGTGGGAAGCCAATAAGTGAGGAAATTGTCACACTGGGAGAAGGGAGTAAGTACATGATGCTTTTGCATGTTATGTTTTCACGCAACTGCACTAAAGTGCAGGTACCTAGTCTCTGTACCCAAATCTAGCTGATCCTCTATGCACCACCAACACAAATACAGATTTTACTGATCTGTTTATAAGGCTCACATTTGTTCATGGGTTTCTGAACAACAACTAATCATAACTTAATTTATATAAGGTCAGAAACATACTTCTAATTAAATAAAATAAGTGAACATAGGCTCATAAAATTTCTCACAAGGTTAGGAAAAGGATATTTTTCTTTGAAGAATATTTCTTTCTAAATATTGTCTTTTACTTTGGTAGACATTTAATAGAAAAAGAATCTAATATATACCACTTTTATTACTTGACTCATAGTATATTAATTTATATATCAAATTTGACTTATTGTCTGATAGTTCAAGCTAAGTAAGAGTTGAAAATGACTTATCAGTCTTTGATCTTACATGTAGCACAGTTATAATTAAATTACATTTCTATCTCTCCCTTAGATTCTAACAGTATCCCTTAAAATTTTTTTCTCTAAGAAAATTTTAGGATTTTTCTTGCCCATTTATATATAATATCCTTAATGCATCAAGATTGAAAAAGGTTAAGTAGTAAAGTAAAATGAATTCAGGAACTGATGTTCATATCAACAAGTTAAGAAAGGCAGACTCATATGGGGTTCAGAGTGCTCAAGCATAGGAGGGCTCAAGGGGAGAGAAGAGAGTTGATGAAAGCAGAAAATAAGGGAAACAAAACCATTTATTCACAAATAGTTTACGGCAAATGTACTTCTATTCTGAGTGGTTTTCTGAAGTGTAGATTAGGAACACTATGAAATCGATGGGAGAAATGAAGGTAATAGGAGAGTAGTGAGGAAGAAAACCAAATTGTGCAACATTTACTATGACACAATTGTGATTCCCTTAAGTGTGTGTATCACAACCATTCGTTGTATTCCTGCTAAGCACTGTTGCACTCTGAACTTTACTACAGGCTTCTTCCTGTAACAGTTTCCATCTTTGGGTCCCTGTTTTCCCCTCGACACTTTAGTTGTTTTTATAGAAAGAGTGTTTTCCAATAGCATCTCTCCCAAACCCATGAGTTCAGGACAAATCAAACACTGGATGATATGACAAACTCATTAATCTAGGAAAATGCTAGACTTCGAGATAATGACAATTGCTCCAGTTACTAAAGAAGATTATATCTCAAGGTTACAAACTGGCATCAAATGTTCAATTCACAGCAGTCCGAAGAATAGATTAGTGATCTAAATACTCAGTTTCCATATTGTTCATACAAGATATCAAACCACAGAGACAGTTGCTGTATTGATAGAAGTGACAACTTAAAAATCAGGAGAAATATTAGTCCCATTCTTGACAATAAGGAGCATGAAAAAAATCCAAAGAATTGCCTTAGTCTTACTCCACATCTTCTGCATATATTGGGAAACTGGGCTTTTTTTGCATTCATGCTTAACAAACTTTCCTGGAGACTGAAAATGTTGCTGGGTGGTTTCATAACTGATGTCTCATTTTGCTAATGTGCTTCAGTGTGTAAAGGAAGATTGCTTCACTATCCCATGTTGGTTATTAAAAACTGCGATTCTAAGGTGTTTGTGTTCTTTTCCAGGCATCTGAATTTTCAGTATTCCAGCTACTGCCCTTTCCTCTGTTGACACTGCTTTCTCTTCTATAGTCATATATTGCCATGTAGTAAATTATAGTAGCATTTCCATGAACTTCAACAAAATCTTTGACTATTAAACAGTTCTACAGAGGAGATATATCTCAGCTTCCCTGAGAACTCTTAAACTGATAACAGTTAAAATTAGAATCTATTGTTGCAGATATTTCTTCTCCCTCCTTCAACGAGGGAACACAAGTTAAGATTCTGATATTGAAAGCAAGCTGTTTTCTTGCTCTCTCTTCAGTTTGAGGGTGTCTCTCTAATGAAAGAGGGGAAAAGCATGGACTTAGAATATGCTTTTGTGTCCTTATAGGTTTGAATAAATCATTTTGCATTTCTGTTTTCAAAAAGCTGGCACTAAATGATATACTAATATTTCTGGTTTTTAAAGTAAGAATTCATTCCATTCTATTACAGTAATCCATTCTAAAAGCTCTGCTCTGTAACTGGCTTTATTTCTGTCACAGCACCATTTTCAGTGAATTACTTTATTCTTTATTCAGTAGTCATATAATCAAGTTTAGTCTGTGATGAAAAGTTACAACCAGGTGCTTTTGTGTCCTATGCCCACTTAACAAAGAGTCTCGTCATCCATCCTCCATTATATTCTCACCAGGGATCTTAATTCATCTCATGTGTAAATTGTTGGCACTTGGCCAATTGACATTTTCTATGCTGAGTTGATTCCTAGAAAAATATGAATTTAATGACAAAATTATTTTATATGTTTAATTGCAAGATCAGAAATTAATGCATATTAATTAAACTGGACTCATTTTCATCTGTTTCTCTGAGGTTCAATGATTAACTTATTGACATATTATTGAAAGTTTCTCTTGGAAAATTATTTTTTCATACATATACTAAATCTCAGTGAAACCATTTCATTTAAATGTACCTATAAACCTGCACTTAATCTAGCTGAAGACTCTAATTCAAAAAATACTTTCTATGTGAATGTGTTGTGATGCCATCTTACCAGAACATATTGAGACTATGGCAACACTATGCTTATGCATTTAATAAAAACACAGTTAAAATCTAATTCTATTTGTAATAATATGAAAATACGATATATTCGTCTTTTCACTGGCTGTGAAAATTCAACTAATATGAAAATACCATAAAATTTGAAGGATTTTTTTTTTGAGTCTGTGTTTGGTTTTGAGCCATTCCCACGAAGGCAGATTTATAGTACCATTTCATCAGCAAATGGCCATAAACTGATTTCATTGCATTTATTCATTTTCAACATTTTAAGAGAAAAATCTTGAAATGTTAGTTTCTGAGTCCACTGATGATTCAAGAACCATTAAAGATAAAAACACCAAAATGATTTTTTTCATCTCGAAAAATGATATATATATATTTTTATATTTCTCTCCTGCTTTCCAGTGATTGAAATCATATGACTTAACTGTGTACCTTTCTTAGGTAAAGGTATCAGGAAGATAACAGAAGGAGTAAATCTTACCCAAAAGATTCACCCTGTAGAGGTACTTGTGCCGGGAGCGGAACATATTGTTCACCTCATGACTAAGAACTGGGGTGATAACGATAGCATTTTTCAAGATGTAATTGAGACAAGAGGGAGAGGTGAGAAATGAGACTGTGTGGGCTATCGTCTTAGACAATTCACTATGTCCTGTGGATTAATTTTAAATATATATATTATATTAGAAAGTATAGAGTACAGTAGCTACAAAGATCATGATTTCAATTTGTATTGGCATACAGAGTATTTCAAAATTACCAAAAGGAAATTATGTCACAATGATCCCATGTTTCCCTTATTGGGTTTGACACAGTAGTCACTTGAGTGTGTATGATGCTAATTAACACCTGCCAATAACAGAAACTAAAGAAAATCGGAAGCAAACCAGAGCTCACAAAGGTGTCATGGTGATCTGCTTGTAACCCAGGCAGCTTGTGCTATGGCTTGCTTGCTGCTGCTTCTGCATTTAACTTCACTATCCTTTCTGATTCTCATCTTCAGAGCTAAATGCAACCCTACAGAGCCTCTTCCCTAAGAAGGAAGGAATGATTTCCTAGTGTCTCCCAACTTCAGATTACTTTATTTCCTTTGAGATCAAAGGAAAGATTATTTATTATTTTTAAAATGATATCTGATTGTGCCCCAATGTTACATAATATCAAGGACTGATTCTAGAGGTAGGTCAACCTTGTACCTTCTCTCTATACAACAGAATATGCTGGCTTATATGATGACATCTCCACTCAAGGCTGGTTTATTGGACTGATGTGTGCAATCGCTCTTCTCACACTGATACTATTAACGATTTGCTTTGTGAAGAGGAACAAGGGTGGAAAGTATTCAGGTAAAACCATGGCTTAACATGATTTTCAACTTTGAATAGCATATACTGTGAATCGATCTATGGGAACTATTTTATAAAAATTATGTGGATAAAGTTTGTAGTGTATTAGTTTTGAAATATACTAAAGGGCAATATTTTGATTAAACAACCAAAGGAAATATGCATAGTATATAATGCTAGCTTTTAGTAGCTGTTTGAGTTGATTGGCCTGGAATTCACTAGGTAGACTAGGGTGGCTTTGAACTCATAGAGATCCATGTGTGCCTCTGCCTTCTAACTGCTAAGATAAAGGTCTGTGCCATCTATGCCTGATTGTTTTAGTATTTATTAGAGACTGTATGGGCTAGGGTGATAGTTCAGTGGTTTAAAGTACTTACTTGACATTGTGAGTTTTGTTCCAGGCAACCATATTGAGCAGTTCACAGTAGCTTGTAATTCCAGCTTCAGGGAGTCTCACACCTCTGGTCTTTTCAAGCACCTGCACGTACACAAACACACACATACACATAAATCAAATGAAATTAATCTTTTCAACAAAATATTTTTATTGATTATTTGGGAATGTCATCTCATGTACTCCTAGAGCACAGTCACTTCCTAGTCCTCCCATGTCTGCTCCCTGACCCTTAAGACTTCCCCCAACAACAAAAAAAGGAGTTCAGTTTTTGTTGCCCATATGTCCACTGAAGCATGGTTGAACACCCAGTGGCCCATCATATAAAGAAAGCTGAGATTTTCCCCATCCACACCCCTGCCAGAAGCCATCAGCTGTGGAGAGCTATACCTCAGCATCCTTATCACTATTTTCTTTTGCGGTGATATCAATAGCTTCATGCTCATGGTTGTGGAAGAGGGACATAGAAGGCGTCTGTGACAACGCCTTTCCACACCCCAGCTCCTAAGATGAAATGAAACTTCAAGATAAAAACATTAAACTAGGTTCTTAAAGATCATAATGCTTATAAACTTAAGTTTTCTGTTCATAGATATATCAGACACCAAGAAGGTATATTATTAAGTCACACATATACTTGAATACCTTACAAAGGAGCTCATTTATTTATGACATGCCTTTACTTCTTTCTCTACACCTGGCTCTGGTGTTCTGTGTGGTTCTGGTAGAACTCCTCCACTCCCCAGCTTTGTTCGAGATCACCACTGCATTGCAGAGGGTGCATTTCCTATTACTGTACTGGGAAACTTTTATTGAGTGTACTGCTTCTTGAAATATTAATAATATATTGGATAAAAATAAAATCATTCTAGTTGTTAACTTTTTTTTTTGTTTTGTTTTTTCAAGACAGGGTTTCTCTATGGTTTTGGAGCCTGTCCTGGAACTAGCTCTTGTAGACCAGGCTGGTCTCGAACTCACAGAGATCCTTTTGTTTTTTTATATAATTATATTCAACTTGCTATTTTACATATACATTGTTGCTGTTTTTTTTTTTTTTGTCCTGTTCATTGTGTTTTTACAAAAGGAAAAAGATTAAACTCCTACATCTCTTGGCTTACGGTATTCAGATCTATAAATTGTTCTTTATTGACTCCTGGTTCACCAAGCAAACGTTTACTGAGAATCTGTCATATACATAAAACCATGAAGAACATAACATACATTTTCCTAAAATAGCATGTCTAATTGGCACAGCTGTCCATTTCCATTTTTCTCTGAAATCTAGCTTGTATCAAATATGTTCACAATGACTAATGGATATTCCAGGTCATTCATTAGACACTTTGAAGAGAGACAGCTTTTTAATTATCTTTTTGAAAGTAATGAAATATGAACCTATATGTGCTCTGAAGTCCTCCCTCAATTCAGACCCTTTGAAAACAATAGCAACAACTTTTCATATTGGAGGACAGCTAAGGGTTTGCAAGGGTGAATACCATCTTAAAGGAAACTTGTTTATGTTTTTAAAGGTAAGAGAATCAAGAACCAATCTCATGGCCCAGTGTTTCACATGAAACTAAATTACTTTTAGTATGGAGGAGTCTGCACATTTCCCATTGTGGCTATGCATGTGGAGTCCAGAGACTGACACCCATTATCTTGCTCAGTCATCTCCACCTTACTTTTTTTTTTTTTTAACACAGGGTTTCTTATTAGCTTGAAGCTTACAAATTTAGCTAGACGGATTTAGACAGCAAGTCTCAGAAATCTTCCTGTACCCTCCTCCCCATAAATGCAGCTAAAGCTGGTTGCCATCAAGTCTGCCATTTTCATGCAGGTCCTGGAATAAAACAGGTCCTCAAACATGTTTGACAGATACTTTATATAAGCTAAATCATCCCTACAGTCTCTCATGTAATTATATATTCAGAATGCTTTGGTAGCCCTGATTATTTTTGTTATTAAGGTAGTTTTGATTAAAATATTGATACAGAACACCATAATGATTGCTTTTTTTGAGGGGGCATTAAACTGGTTTCATGACTTAGGTCATTAAAGAGCCTATTAAATCTTCAAATAGTTTGGAGAAAAAATAAATTTTATATTCATGGACACAATGATGTAAGCTTGATTCTCTTCATAGGACAAGTTCCCATTTGATATGGGGGAATGACATGAAAGTCTACAAGGTGCTTAATAGCAGAAAAATAGAACCCAGGAAATACTTTCTGTTTTCAGATTAAATAAAAAGTAACTGATACATTATATGTAACACTGGCATAAAAACTTGGGGCAATGTGGTTTTATAACCTGCCTTTCAGCAGCCAAGCTGACAGGTCTTTCTAATAGATTCGATGTTAAACTACTTTCAATTTTCTGTTTCAGTAAAAGAGAAGGAAGATTTACACCCAGATCCAGAAGTTCAGTCAGCAAAAGATGAGACTTTTGGTGAATACAGGTAAATGTAACTTTGTATTTCATGATCAGTTGAAAGACTTCCATCAGGTTTGTCAAGAGGAGAACATTCTTTGTTTTTAACTCAAGTAATGGAACTACAATACACTGACTTTATAAAAGGAATTTTACCAATGGTTTCCTTACCCCACCTCTGTCCCTATTCCCTCCCTCCCTTCCTTCCTTATTTCCTTCCTTTTTTCCTCTTCCTTCCTTCATCTTTTTTCTTTCTTATTTTTTTCCTTTTTATCTACTGTTATGTACTCTTGTGAGAACTGAATTATTATGTGCAGGGGTGGAGGTGTGTTAAGGACCACAGTCTGGATAGCAACAAGCATCAAGATTGCTTGGTTGAAACTCTTTGCATGACTCATGTCACATGTAATATTCACATAAACAAGTAATTGAAACATCTTAGAGCCACTCTGAGGATTGCCTTATGGACATGATAACTTTAAGTTTGCATTCATGGACACAGATTTCAACATTCTTTGTGCATTTATAAAATAAAGAGGTTCCAAACCCAACTCTATGCATGAGCCTAGACTTAAAAAAAAAAAACCTTGTCATATTCAAATAATATTATCAATCAATTAGAATGAAAGACTAAAAGGTGAACAACTATTTTTGCAAGGCAACGAGGCTGGCAAAAGAACTAAGTGGTAAATTAGTACTTAAAGCATAGAGTCACTGATACCTGTTTGAAGAGTATTATTCAGTGTATGAGTTCAATAATGCAGGGACAACACAGCAAGAAGTCTAGTACAACAGCCAAATTCTCCAGTTACACATCTCTGCCTCACCCTGTGCCCATTATATTTCTTAGCTTTCTTTCTTGAATTATCACCATTCCTTAGTCAGATCATCTCTACTATCTCTATTGTAGCAAGAAAATTACTATCAATTTTGGACTTATATTGATGTTATTATATATGATTCAAGAATCTCTACCAAATAAGAAATCTAGCTGGCTGTCACTGGCTCAGCTCAGAATCTCTCTGCATGGCCATGGATGTGGGGTACTTTGAGTCGTTGACCTGGAGTAACTAATACAGATCTGAGCATCACTATGCCTCTGCTGGTCTCTATGTGCATCACTTCCCTTTCTGCTGATTGGTGCCTTCTTTTATGGTTTTATGTTTTTTGTCAAGAAGATCAGAGGAGAGAAAGACAGGGGTGGCTGTAAGGAAAAAGAAAGAAAGAAAGAAAGAAAGAAAGAAAGAAAGAAAGAAAGAAAGAAAGAAAGAAAGAAAGAAAGAAAGAAAGAAAGAAAGAAAGAAGAGAGAAAGGTGTAAGGGAAGGAAGGAAAAAACAGGAGAGTAAAAAGATAAAGAATGTTAGCTTGGGAAAGTTGTGGTCAGTGCTGTTGAACTGATTGGAATATTCGTCCTGATTATGTCCGAAATGCAAAACTTAGGATAATAATTGAGTATTATCTCAATGCCCATGCAAAATGAAGCCACGTATGTACTTCTGGTGTATGGTCTTCAGGAGACGGGCTTTTGACAAGAACTGTGGTCTCACCTGAAGTTTTGGCTGACAGTAGATCTGCTTCCTTATGTGTGTGTTGCCAGAGCTTGGTTACATCCAGACCTAGGGGTTAAGAACTTCAGATTTTGGCAAGCCAGAGTCATCCTCAATTCTACACTATGTGGACTTATCTCCAGGATACTTAGTAATATCTAGCTTTAGGCGAGGCGGAAACACCAGATTGAGTACCCAAGAGGCAATTCATAGTATGTTGATGCCCCAATCTTAGAACTTACATCTCATTGCTCTGGTATATATATTTATTGTAGGTTCAGCATACATTTAAAGGGAAGACTTTACACAATTGCTCACATTCCTTTTGAACAGGGATCGCTGAGGTCTGAGGACAACTGTTCACAAACATTTTTATGAAGCGAAACAAAACAAACCCCTAAATCTATTCCTTGTCCATAACTTATTTGTCTACACTCTGCAGCTTCTCTGAAAGGATTGGTCATTTCGTTTCCCTACATCATTTACAGTTACAGCCTTTCAAGCAGTCAGTATGTTTTCTGGCATTTTATTCCAAAACTTAATATTCATCAGGAATTTTTGTCTTTTTAATATTTTATGAACTTTCTTATGTGCTTTGCCCTTAGATATATGTTTTTATTACTCGTTATCTGGCCCCAAAGTCAATGCCACAATTTTTTTTATTTTTATTTTTAGAATCTCAGTGTCTTCATTCTGAAGCCTGTTACCATACCACACAGATATCTTGATTTATGCTGATGTCAAACACAGATACCCAAACATTTCTTTCCCAATAGTGTGTCAAACACAGATGGTTCTTGTCATCTAGTCACTTAGGAACTGGTACTTAAAACTTTTTTTTTTAATTTTTAAAATCAGATATATAAAGGGCATAATTTCATTAATATTTTGTGACTTCAGGCTTGTTTCTCATAATGAGTAAAACACACATCAGATATCATATTAATAGTATTCACAATGATTGATATTTTCTTTTAGAACTTATTATTTCACAATTCCATATGTATATATAGTACTTTGTTCACACTTGCCCATTATCTTATCTTACCGTCTTATCTTTTGAGCTCAAGTCCTTAGTCTTCCTAACAAGTGCTTTTCCTACTTTGCTGTGCACTCTCTCTCTCTCCCTCTGTGTTAAATAGATAGACAGACAGATAGGTAGATAGATAGGTAGGTAGGTGGGTAGATAGGGCTGGGACCTAATTTAATCAGGGTACTTTTAATAATTTTAATTGAAAATTTTTATAAGAAACTAAATTTGGTTGGTTATACTAAATAAAAGAGAAGGATACAGGAGTTTATATGACCAAAATAAGAGATAAAAGATCAAAACACAAGGCCAAGAGCAACAAGAGTGCATAAAGCAAGGAAAGTAACACTTGTCTTCTGCCCTTAGACCACTGAATAGCAACTGCTAGTGGCATAACTAGGTGACTTATAAACAGCAGAATATTTCTCACAGTCCTGGGACTGGACAGTGAGATCCAAGTCAGGACAGGATGAGTGTGTGCTGAGCTAACCATCTCACTTATGGATGCCTTTTTCTCTTGTTCTGCCCTGGAAACTGCAAAGCTGCTTTCTGGAGGCCCTTTCACTAGGGCAAATCCCTTTCATGAGGACTGTTCTGTGACTGCTAATCTCCACCGTTGCTAATCACACACCGTTGGGGAAAGCAGTTTAGCATGTGATGTCAGGGAGCACAGAAGTAGCCACACTATAGCCTCAATATGAATCAGCATGTTGCATCTTCATGTCCCAAAGCAGCTCCTCAATTAAAAGGGAAGCACAAGTGTGGGAAAAAAAAAAAAAAAAAAAAAAAAAAAAAAAAAAAAAAAAAGCAGAAACGGGTTCCTCAGTCACTCAGAATAAAGAAAATTAGTTATGGCTTTTAAAATACTTACTTATTGATGTGTCATTTCAGCTGCATTTCCCTGTCATTTGTGTTAATATGAACAAGTTGAAAATTATCGAACCTGTTAGCACTTGTGAAAGAGTCTTGCTGTATGTGCCTGTGAATCTGAGCTCCCGGGGAATGGCTCTGTTTTGTTTTCTAGTGACAGTGATGAAAAGCCTCTCAAAGGAAGCCTTCGCTCCTTGAATAGGAACATGCAGCCCACAGAGAGCGCTGACAGCTTAGTGGAATATGGAGAGGGAGACCACTCCATATTCAATGAAGATGGATCTTTTATTGGCGCCTACACCGGAGCTAAGGAGAAAGGGTCTGTTGAAAGCAACGGAAGTTCGACGGCCACGTTCCCACTCCGGGCCTAGGCACATCACATGCACCACCGCTGGCTAGCACAGTCCTCCCCAGTCTCTTCTGGGGAGCAAAATCTTTTACAGAGGAGTGGAAACACGTGTCCAGAGGCTGACATTCTGACATTCTGCAATTTTGCTGAGAAAAAATAGCACTGCCTTCAAAAAGAAAAAAAAAAAAAAAAGTCAGATGCCAAACACTTCAGGCCTGTGTTTCGTTTATGGTTTTGGTTTTGGGTGCTCAAAATGCAGAACACAAAACAAATCCTGTACTTAGATCCACTTTGACTGAATCCAAAGTTCCTCTTTTACATATTCCACGTCTGCCTGGTTCTCCTGTTCAGTGTGTGTGCAGTAATGTTGCTAACTGTGTGGGTTTCTCTGGATACACAGTTGTATTTAGTTTTTAAGAACTGTTTTAGTGACTTTGATTCACTACAGGTTAAAAGATTGTAAGCAAGTAAGATGGTTATTTAAAATGTAAAAAGGAATATGAATGTCTTATTAAACACTTCATGGAATCTATACAGTCTGAAGTTATTATTTAAAATTTAGTAGTAAAGGTCTTAGATGATCATGCAACTCGTATTTATTGAGCCCCTAACTATTTTCCCAGAGGCTACCATTTTTATTCAGAGTTACAATGTTTTCAATTTCTGAATGATTGTCTTCACTTTCTGTCAGTGTGGTAACTCTGTAACTATCTATCTATCTATCTATCTATCTATCTATCTATCTATCTATCTAATTTTCTTCCTTCCTTTCTTCCTTTCTTTCTCTTTCTTTCTTTCTTTCTCTCTCTCTCTCTCTCTCTCTCTCTCTCTCTCTCTCCCTTTCTTTCTTTCTTCCTTTCTTTTTTTTTTTTTTACTTTTTAACTTGAACTAACTGGAGCTGCAGAAGGTCAGAGGTTATTTTAAAAAGAGAAAGAAGATGTTGATGATTGTATTTTGTATCTTCATTTGTATGTTCACAGCTTTTAGCCTTTATGTTTATAGACTGGTTCCCTTGGATATGTTTTATGAATGCCTTGTACATATTATATTAATATTTACACACAGTGTTTTATTTTGAAGTGAGAAAGAGAACATTAATAAGCATGATTGTACAGCTAAAGTGTATATAGTAGGATGCTGTTTTCATCCTTCAGGGGCTAACCCAGCAATCCAGATTCAAGATTACATGAATAATTGGATTCTATTCTTATATTTCTCTCCTTCACATGTTCTCAAAATAAAATAGCATATAACGATGGAGGGAAATGCATTCATATTGTTCAAAATAAGTTTTGGAGTGGATTCCTGCCCCAGTCTCCAACAAATAAAGTTATTTACAGTATAAAATCTTATGTACCTGTTAGTTTATATCATATTGTAAATGTTTCTGTGGTGGTATCATCATTTTTAACGTTTTCTTTTTGTCATAGTTAGTACAGGGCCAGGGAATTTAGTTTCCCTCACGTGGGCTACCAGTCCATCTAAAATGGTACAGAAGTTTTAGAGTGTTTTAGAAATACCTTGAAGAACTCTGCGCACATATAAGTAAATAACGGATGCTAACACTCTCATGTAATGGAAACTTTTAACCTCACCATGAAATTATTAATTATGTTGTGATACAGTTCAGAGATTTAACTTTACTTTGTGTAATTACTGGCATATCCTTACTGTTTAGTCTTCATGTTTAATTGATATGATGTGCTATGCTGCTTTGGGGTTAAAATCATGGATAAGAAAATGACCAATGCAGTAATGTACATGAAACATACTTTTTAAATCTCATGTTTCTTTTAGAATGCATAGGTAGGAAAAATCCGTTTTCTCAAAATCATGGATCTCAATGTTTAGCTACTTTCCTGGAAATAGTAAAAGAAAGGGGGCAGATATCTTTATTCTCTAGCCTGTATGAGTGTGCAAGAATCTACACATCCACTGTGGAAACTGATCCCCAGCGCCATCTGATGACTAAGGCACAGATTGCTGGAGGAGCCTCTGTCATGTGCCATTTTAGGTGGGGGGCTGTGGAACTGAGCTTCAAAGAAAATAAAGGATGTGACCGACAGTTAATTATGCTGTTATTCTGCCTCCTTCTCCTTATCATCATTCAAAATGTAGTTTGGAAAGGGTCATATGGGTTGATAATAATAACCAACAATGTAGAACTGTTTCATTAAAAAATTAATAATCTTTAAGTCTAATGTTGATGCAAATACTTATATTTTTGTTCCAAATGACGGTTGAAGTAAATGAGATTGTGCTATAACCCCTTTTGCTAGCTTCTGTGAACTTCTAAATACTATTTGGCTTCATTTCGTTGTACAACTTCAGTAGAGCAAGACAAGATCCTTGGAGTCCTTTGATTTTAATTAAATTTAAATGTGTGCTCAAATGAAAACACATCCAGTAGGTTAAAGTGGATTTAATTCTTTTTCTTTCTTAAACAGTGAGTGGCAGACTCTGTGATGTGCAATGCTGATTACCATTGGGCAATAATTATTTGGGAAATGCGACCCCCCTGAGTTTTAAGGCAGCTGCTAATATGTACAACTTTGTTCTTAACTGGTTTTGCAGTAACTTTCTGTAGTCTACTGACAGTATGATTTTAATGTAAGTGATTGTATATAACCTCCAGGATTGTGGATGGGGATAAGTTCAGAACGAACTGTTTGAGGGTCAGGGAAAATCTGTGTTCTCTTCCAGGTTCCAGCACTGACTATACATAGAAACCTTAGGCACATTGCTGAACTGCTTTAACTTCAAACTGTGCTACAAAAGTGCTAATGTTTGCTGTCACAGGGTGTTCTTTTGTACTAAGAAAACTTACGAATGATAAAATCTAAGATGCCTTTTAACTTCATAACCCAACCTGTAATTAAATTAAGTATCAAAAACTCACCCCCACATACACCAACTCAATTTCCCCCCTCTAAGCACATAAATATATTTTTATAGAAAACAGATCTACAGAAAATAAACTAAATCTTCCTGTTAAGTGTGGAGTACGATTTGCATATGCCATTGAAAATTAATAATCGGAAGAAAACTAAGCAGGGTCTTTGCTATACAAAAGTGTTTTCCACTCATTCTGCATGCGTATTTGTAAGATGTGAAATCAGTAGATTTATTCTCTTGGTATAAAGGCATCTGATATTTTAGATGTACCCATGTTTATAGAAAACTGTAGAGCACAATGGACTTAACGCTATTTTCTACTCATGGAAGAGAAAGAGGACGATAAAGAGAGATGTCGGCTGCTTTTCTAAGTATTTAAAACATATTTGCCAATCGAAATCCTAAATATGTTTACATGCCATTAAGGCGTAATTCTCGTAACAACTTTAAATTGGTTGTAGTACTGGTTTGTGGTCTGTGGTAGTAGATGTATCCTAGTGTTCCTATAGTGAGGTAAGTAGGGCTGGGCCAAAGCTACTTTGATTTGTCTTCAACTGACTACATCGTCAAAGAGACAAAATGTACAGAGGGTAGGCTCACCTGGTTAGCTTTTCTGTTCTTACATAGATTAATGTTCACAGTAGATCTTTATTCACGTGTGTTTGTGTTGTAGATGGTGTTTGTATTATGCTTATGGATATTTGTGGTTCAATACTATTTTCATTACACATGAAATTCAGCTTTCAAATAAAAGTTTGACTTCGTGTACTCTAAAGATGTCTGTGTCCCTTTCTATCCAATTAAAGGCAGAATTTACATTGCAAGCTTAAACTTGGTTCCTACTAATTCTGAAACTATAAATGAAGCATAAATTAGTTAAGTTTGAAGAAGAAGAAGTGAAGTATTTTACTTGTATCACTGTGTTTATAGAAAGACTACTTGATGTCATCAAGGGCTAGAAAATACACCAACGTCACAGTTACAATGAATGCAAATTAACATGTATATATTTGTAGTTGGCTTATTTTTCAGGGAAAAAATGTAGCAATATGTCATTTTAATAACATATGGTATCCTGTATCTTCAAAGTGGATAAAAGTTAAAATTGACATAGTCTTTTAAAGATGGGATGCCCAATTTGCTGAGTATTTTGATATTTAAAATATTTTGCTATGTACCTTATACAACTTACAACAGTTTACCTAAAAATCTCCTTTTTCACTTTGTACACTAGAGAACAAGGAAGTTGGTAAGTCAGTTAATATTACACAGTCATTCAGGCCAAGAAATTATTCCTAGGGTTATTTGAGTCCCAGACCTCTAATTTTTATAATGGTCTGTGTTTTTTATTTTCTCACTCCTTCACATTCTCTTAGAAATGCTTAACGAAGGTGCATTGATCTTACTGTGGCCTGCTGAGCACGGAGACAAATGACTTGGTTTTAAAATATTTTGAGAAGACTTGGAAGAGGGGGAAAAGGAATGTTAATAAGTGAGTGTGGGCATCCTAAAACATTGTAGGCATTCAGAAAAATCAGTGGTTTGCAAGAGAATTGGGAATACCAGGTTCCACTGATACTGCTTAGGACCTGAAGCTCCTCCCAGGATGGACATCCTCAGGAGCTGTCTAGAATGCTTTGAGTTGGTGTTTGCATTACGCTATTAGAAACAAAAATCTACAATGGGGCCTCTTCCTCCCTTTGCTTTTCACATTTGCTTTCTTGTAAAATATCACACAGAGATTTTTAAACCATATGTTGTTGGACTCACAGGTTGGTTCACAGTGTCCCACTTATGAGAGCCCTAATGGAAAAGTCGGCTTTAAATCAAACGAGTACTACTTCTTAACGCTACTCAGTGTGTTGTCTTGCTGAGCAATCAGAGCTATAAACATGTGTGCATCCTCCTTACAAGACATACATAAGCTGAGAAGGCTAAATATGTTTCCTGAAAGAAACATTTAAATACTAAATAATGTACTGTACAGCAAATAAATATATAGCTACTTTTGGGAGAGGATAATGTTTATTGGCTTGCCTATGAATAACAGAATGTAAAATTTAAAGTTTGCCAAAGTGAATATATATATAATGAATTCTGTAGAAAACAATTTCATCAAAAATATTTTAAAAATGCTGATAGAAAATAATGAAACTAATGTATTTTATACATTACTAACTGCTGAGAGTATGGTATTCAAACATATGGGAGCCAAGATTTATTTTGCAGATTCATTCAAAGGCTTTTCTCATTGTATTATCTGCCTAAAACTTCTTGTCCATCCCAGAGTTTGATTGCCATGGTCAGACAGATGACGTCACCTTACTTTTAGCTTAGTGCTCTTCTAAACTATAACATTTTTTACACGTGACTTTTTCCATAAGAAGTAAAGTTCACATATAAAAAGGAAGGCTCCACTTTCTCTTCCAAACCTGAGAGTGGTGACACTGGTCAGTGTCCATTTCCAGGCTCTGCTGCTGTTGCTGCCATGAGTCTCCTGGATCCCCCCTTCTCCACACTCTGAGCACCTTAGCTGGACACCTTCTTGCTAATTTTTTTTTTATCTGCTCCTGTTCCCCTTCTCTCCACCATCCTCAGAAGCAGATTTTTGTTTAAAGGTATTTTTATGTTTTATTTATATATGTGTCTGTGTGAGTGTATGGCGCATGCGTGCAGGTATGCACAGAGGTCATGTGAAGGTGTTTGATCCCATGGAGCTGGAGTTAAAGGCACTTATGAGTCATAGATATGAGTGCTGGGAACCAATCTCAAATCTTCCCAAAGAGCTGAAAGTGCTCTTAGCCATTGAGGCATCTCTCCAGCTCAAAAGGGGATTATAAAGGTAGGTACAAATCAGCTTACAGTGTTCCTTTACTACAAACATGGGAAAACAGAATGGGTAGCTATTTTGTTATTAGAGTACTACTCAGCAGTAAAAAAACAAGGACTTCTTGAAGTTTGCAGGCAAATGGATGGAAATAGAAAACACCATCCTGAGTGAGGTAAGCCAGACCCAAAAAGAGGAACATGGGATGTACTCACTCATATTTGGTTTCTAGCCATAAATAAAGGACATTGAACCTATAATTCGGGTTCTTAGAGAAGCTAAATAAGAAGGAGAACCCAAAGAAAATCATATAGGCTTCCTCCTGAATATTAACCTTCATCAGGCGATGAAAGGAGACAGAGACAGAGACCCACAATGGAGCACCGGACTGAAATCTCAAGGTCCAAATCAGAAGCAGAAGGAGAGAGAGCACAAGCAAGGAACTCAGGACCGCGAGGGGTGCACCCATACACTGAGACAAGGGGGATGTTCTATCGGGAACTCACCAAGGCCAACTGGCCTGGGTCTGAAAAAGCCAGGGTAAAAACAGGTCTAGCTGAACATAGTGGACAATGAGGACTACTGAGACCTCAAGAACAATGGCAATGGGTTTTTGATCCTACTGTACCTATTGGTTTCGTGGGAGCCTAGGCAGTTTCGTGGATGCTCACCTTACTAGACCTGGATGGAGGTGGGTGGCCCTTGGACTTCCCACAGGGCAGGGAACCCTGACTGCTCTTTGGGCTGACGAGGGAGGGGGATTTGATTAGGGGAGGGGGAGGGAAAGGGGAGGCGGCGGTAGGGAAGAGACAGAAATCTTTAAAAAAAATAAAAACAAATAAATCTAAAAAAAAAAAAAACAGAAATCTTCCATTAACTTTTCAAGTCTGTACATAATTCTTAGGTTCCTTATTTTCCTTCCTTTCTCTCTTCAAACTAATTCTGAGAATTGTATCAACCGCCACCACTGCTTTCCCACTTTGGAATCTCTAGTCCTCCATCGTCTCGTGCCAATTTCTACTAAAGGAAGGAACTGTGCAAAGACTGTTGTGCACATTACTTAGGACTTACCCTGCCTGGGACAATTCCTCAATATGATGACCTAAGATGCAATAAGGCTGCCGAAAGACCATGATACTCAGCCCAGAAGTATTAAGAAGTTAATACCTAATAGGCCATCCGTTTGCCTACTGTAGAAAGGGACATTGTAGATCAAGTTCTTCGACATTATCTCCTACCCTGCATTCTTGTCCCTTCCCTTATTTGGCATGATTTCGAGGAAAATAGCAATTCCAATGGTGGTGACTCAGTCATGACCTTCTTTTGGATCTGTATCTTTCCCCTAATGTGGGCTGCATAAGCATTTCGTGAAGGGGTAACTGCATGTTCTGCCATTAGAATCCCTGGCTAAACCTTCCGTCCTTTATCAGTTTTTGGTGTCCACCAAATTCGTTCCTATCTAAAGACTTTGAAATTTCTCCTTTTCCCTCAAAAGATTCAATAATCTGTTTGAGCTGAATATAATTTCTTTATGGAATCCTTCTAAGACTTTCAAAACTAGGTCAAATCTTATTTTAGGACATGCACACCTTTCTTATTTATTATTAAAAATTTTGTGGTTTTAATTTACCTCTTTTGATATTTGAATACTATCTTTTCCTTCTGTAAATTTAGAAACTCCACAGATTCAGGAGATTCATTCTCCTTCTCATTGGAAATACCACCCAAATAGCCAATGCTTCTTATCTGACTGACAGTCATTCGATGTCTGCTACACAGAAGGAGTCTGAGGAAGCAGAGGCAATAATTGCGAACTATGAAATACCTCTGAGATAATTTCAAATATTTACATGGAAGCAAGCTGTGTGTAATCCTGGCTGCTTTGATCCTGGTTGTTCTAAAGTAAGGCAAATGTTTCCATCGCCCATCCAGGAGCTCAAACCAGGCAACTCCAGGATCATGAATGGACAGGTCAGAAGATGGAAAGGCTGGCCTCTGGACATGGCATGGCTTTTACACACATTGCCCACAGCAGCTACGGTTACCTTCACAAACCAGTCAGTTTCAGCAAAGAAGGAGGGGAAACGCCCAAGGTCCCAACCGAAGCTGAGAAACTGTTGGGAGTTTAGGGCTTCTGGTGAAAATTGAGTCAGCTTTGTTTTTTCTTATTTTTTAAATATTTTTTTAAAATTAATTCTTTGAGCCGGGCGGTGGTGGCGCATGCCTTTAATCCCAGTGCTCTGGAGGCAGAGGCAGGCAGATCTCTCTGAGTTCGAGGCCAGCATAGTCTACAAGAGCTAGTTTCAGGACAGGAACCAAAAGCTACGGAGAAACCCTGTCTCGAAAATCCAAAAAAAGAAAAAGAAAAAAAAATAATTCTTTGAGAACTTCACATCATGTACCCCAATCCTACTTATTCCAAGTCTGTACTCCTCCATTGTAGGCCCCTCAAAAGAAAAGATAAAAAAGCCAATGATTTATTTATTTTTTAAATAAGAGGTACAAGGGAGTAACTGCTGAGCGAGTGAGCTAGAGTCAGAGACTGCTGAGGGTCCAGATGTGAATGTGGCATCTTCAAGGGCATAGACCTAAGCCAGGACTCCTGTGGGCCTGGGCCTGTGTCTAGGACCTCAGAGGAACTATGCCTGAGCCAGGACCTCTAACCTGTCTAGGCATGAATCTGAGACTTCCGAGGGAATAGGCAGGAACCAGAAATCTCTGTGAATCCAGGTGTGATTCTGGGACCTCAGAGGGAGTAGGCCTGAGCCATGACTATGTGGGCATAGTCATGGGGGAGATTCCTGACCACGCTGACACCAGCTGGTTCCACTCCTAGGCAGAGTTACCACAGCTGTGTGGGGATAAGCTGGAATATTTCCCTCCCTAGTCCCTCAGGGGACAGCTCAGACTATTAAACAGAAACAAAAAACAGCC